TGTTTGGAACTGCTGATACCATTCCAATTGCAGTCTTGCCACTCATATAATTCATGCTATGTAATTTTAGCTTTAAATATTTTATTATTGTGAAGTTCTCTTATCAAATGGGAGCATACCTGCTTGATTTTTACCTTCCTTTAAAAAGCCATTAAAATTCCTAGCAGTTTGTACTGGGTGTTGGCAACAGGTACATCTGTGTTAATGAGGCATATGACTTCAATTTAGGTATAGGAAGGATAAATGTAATTCAGAATTGTATAACAAGCATCAGGAATCAGAGAGAGACTGTCAGTAGATAAATGAAGAAAAAGTCCAGGATATAAAATTAAATTTAGACTATATAATTTTTTACTGCCTTGCCTTTGTATTTATTACCAGTTTGATGTAAATTTTTCATCTAAAATTTTGTTTAGTCCTGTGAAATCGCACTTATATAGACCTTTCACTGATAGTCATATTTTTTAAAAAAAAGACAATTATTTAAAAGAATACAAATGCTGCTTAACAGAAACCAAAGCCCAGAACAAGAAATACAGGTTTGTGCTTGTCTCATGTTTTCTAGCTCTAAAATAAATAAAAAATAATGTCAATTTGCAAAGCAGTACAATATATAACAATATATTTAAATTTTTCACACCAGCATAGGTATTTCTCCATGCTTTGTTTTATAACTGCTGTATTATAGTTTCCCAGTTTTGTTAGGAAGTCACCATGAAAAGGCAAAATTTACTTAACAGTTTTTTGAAAAGTAAAACTGGAGTTTTATGTCTGGCAGCTTGTGTTGTGTAGTTAGATTTTTTTCTTGGTTCAGTGGAAATCTGAATACAGTGTCAGAACTGGGTCTTGGCTAATCTCAATTTGACCTGGCCTTTTAAAAGCATTGTACTTGTCACCATTTTCAGTTACCTCTTCCCCCTGGGAGAAAAAGGTCTTGTCTGTCCTGAGGAACCTACAGGCTTGTTCAAAGAGCAATTATTTTTAAACCACGTGGTTTATCTAAGGGGCAGTTTTTCCTTGTGAAAATACAATATTATCTTCCTACACAGTCTAAGAAACAGTTTGGTCTTGGAATTTCCAGGTGCAGTACTTTTGTGTAGGAAAACACAGGTGGTTTTGTGGTGGGGGAATTCCAAGTGGCTGATGGTGATCCTTGGGAGCTGTGGTGATCTAGCTGAGAATCACCTGTACTGTCAGTAATATCAGAAGATTTAAGATGGTGCGAAATTCCTCGTCCCTGATGACTTTAAATAAACACTAATTTTTGGGGAAATTTTTTTCCCTAGTGACAAGACGGTTCTCTCAATGGAATATGTGTGCGTGCAAGGAACATCTTATGTTTTACTGTGGTAATAATGAAGAACCCAAACTAGGGAAAATTTCTGAGAGTTAAATGCATCTTATCTTTGACTGATTTTGCAGAGGTACAGAACAATTTCACTAGAAGTCTTCATGTTGCACTTATGGGTCAATAAGTAATGTTCAAGTGTTTTCAGTAAAGCTGCATACATATTTAAATGAAAATATGTATAAACTGGAAGACAATTGCTGAGAAACTAAGGATTCAACATTTTAATCAATTAAATATTTTAATCTTAATATACAATTAATTAAAAGCACAAAGTTTTAGTCACTCTACCTCATAAGATTTCTTGGTGTAGTTTTAATCAGTTGATTGCATTGTATAAATAGGCAAATACATCACATTAGTAGTGTGTAACATCCAGGCTATTTAAACCACAAATATGTTGTCCATCTATAGCATATTAATTATCAGCAGCACATTTAGATTTTCCTTTCTTACACAGAGAAAGAGAGAATATAATTGAGAATTATTTTTATGTGCATACTTGAATCATGTCCTACTTCAATCAGTTTGATAAGACTCAAAATTTGGGCAATGTTTTGCTCTATGATGTTGGGCAAAACAGAAGTATTAGGTACCTTGCTTGCCTTTAGTTGATTTGAAAAGCACTTTGAAGTCTATAGGGGGACATGCCATATTAAATCTCGCTAATAATTTTATGGACAGCTCATGTGCATTAATAGTAATATATATAATCAATCAGCAAAGACAGGGATCAGAACAAGATGTTTATAGGCAAACCTGATAATCAGCTGGGAAAAAGCAGAGGACTATGCTTGCCATAGAATTAATATAATTCCTATAAGCTCCATGATTTTTTTTTTCAGTAGATTTCAGCAGTCAGGCAAAGCAAACAGCTCATAATATTTTTTTAAGAACTGTCAAACCTTCTTCCTCTAATGATTTGTTTGCCAGAGCGTAGCAGGTGTTCATAGATGAGAGATGTATACTTTTGATTCCTTTGCTATGGAACTCCTCTGGCCTTTATTGCCTGTTGTTGATTTAGCATAACACGTTTACAGTAATAAAGATGCTAATCTTTTTGTTTTCTGCATTTTTACATTGTGGCAAATTTAATAAATTCTGTAGGTCTTTGCTTACATAATTTTACTTCATCTAGATGGTCTGTCTTATACTTCAGGTTCTTAAATGCATTTGCTTTGCACCAGTTCCTAACACAGGTGGTGATTCAGCTCAAGAAATAGAGATTGATTATTCATGAAGAATAAGCTTCCTTGCTGTAGCTGTGAAGCTGAGATCACTGACATATTGTAAGAATAATTGGTCATTCTTTATTTACCCTGTTAAGAACTACTTAGATATTTTAATCCATTTTCAAAAGCTGGAAATGTTTTAAGCTAAAGTCACATAAAGAAAAGACAGTAACTAGAACTAACTGACAGGTACTTGTTTCTAGATGGAAAGTGAACTATCAGAGTGGCCAATAATATTTTTATTTTTTTTTTATATATAGTAGGCTTTTGTTTATACCAGGATCTTAACATCGTAGCAGAAGGCACCTATGAATGCTTAGTTCTAATTAGTGGTAGAATAAGGTCTGCAGTGAAGTAACACTTGATTATACTTTAGATGTGTCAGATCTATTTTAGTACATTAACCCAAATTAAATGTATTTAATGGGCCATATGGTACTCTTCATTTTCTTGAATTTGTAATATAAACCTGTAACATTATGCTAAAACCCAAAATGAACTCCAGAGAAATAAAATTATTCAATTATGAATCGAATGCGCATCCTTGCACTGGTATGAAGCACTCCATGATTACTGGCTAACCAGTGGCTTGATTGGAGCCCAGCCTGAGCAGCTGAGTGTTCTAAATAGTACCAGTGTGTGTTTTTACTGTAAGGCTCACTAACTGAAGAAATGTAGTTTGGCCACTCTATACCATAGAGAGTTAGCTGCATGTAGCTGGCAATTTATTCTAGAGGTATTCTTAATGCTTTTTGAATAATCAAATTATTCAAATATTGGATTGAAATTGAATGTGCTAAGGTGTTTTCTGAGGGGCAGAATGCTGGCTACATGTCAGACTTGGGTTTCTGAAAAGGAAGACATCTCTTGCTTCAGTTCCTGATGTGCTCTCAGAAGTGGGGGTTGGTGTATGTTCAGAATTAACTGTCAAAAGCTGTATTTCACATAATTCAGTAAGATTTAAACATTAAAGGAAGAACAGACTGTTCATCATTTATGAAACTTTACCAGCTGTTATAAGGAAGTGAGGAGAGACTAATTCAAGCTGCACTATATTACATTAAACACTTAAAATTCCTGAAAGGAGCAATGGATCTTGTATACATTTATATCCATAAAATTATAAGCATGGCTTTTTGGGTGGATGTGTCCTATGCAGTGGTTTTAAGTGGGAAAGATTGTAGAAGATACAGGTGTGATTATTTAAAAACATCTTTGGAACAGAGTTTATGTTTGGGCTTCTGCTGTTTCTGTCATAACTTTTTGGATGGACCTTGCACAACTGTGAATTTATGTAAGAATGGCAGGAGCAGAAATGTTTAACAAAATAAAGGGAATGATATAACCATCTTTCAAAAATACTTATGAAATAGAAACTATTTCTTGAAGGTATTTTAAAATAATTTTCTGTGAGAATCTGCAACCGTTCTTTAGACTGGGTAATATGCAATTGCATTCTTCATAGCACTGAAATGAAACTGTGAAGCAATAATTATGCTAATTTTAAGATGGAAAAATATCATGATTTGTCTGTGTCTAACCCTTAAAGCATTTTCCTGACAACCTCAGGACTTTAATGTACAGAATTTGCTGTACTAATGTTAAAGGAGAACTAATCTTACACTGAGGAAGTTGTTATATTATATAAACTGTTACCTAAATGCAAATAATCCCAGTACTTCAGCTTCCTAACATTCTTGAAAAGCTAACAAGCTAAGTAGCTTATTTGCTGTAATTGATGTTGAAAGCCTTTGTGCCTACTGTTTATTAAGTGTTTAATTACCTGATATATTTGAAAGCTACACTAGTATCTAGCACTCAGTCTGGGGCTTATTTTCCAGTTCTCATCTTACATTTATTACAATTCTATTGCTAAGATTTCACCATTAAATACTTAACGGGAAAGAAATACAAAGATGTCACTGGCAAGAATTGTTTTAAGCAACTTACCCAGCAAATGTGTACTATATATCTTTAGCCATTTAATTATGTTTTTCTCTTAAGTCCTACTCTGCAATTGCAGCAAATTCTTTACATTGTCACCATTTCAGAGACCATAGATACCTTGAATATGATCATCTCATTCAGCTTTTTGTTGTAGCAGAACATGCTATAACTGAATAAAGAATTGATTCCTTAGTAGCCATTAAAGACCTCAAAATATTTTTTCAAATGGAACCATGATGACCTCTAATCTCCTGGCCATTCCTTGCTGCTTCTCTTCCCTCTCCTAACATCTCAGTTAAACATTACTTTCTTTTTCCTCTGAAAAACTCAGCCATGTTGCAGCAAACTTCATTCTCTGCTACGTTCAAGATGCTTCAACCCAAAGAATGCCATGTAAATGAGATACTGCTACAAGTCATCAAGAGTCTGGTTGCAAATAAGTAGAACTTTGATTTGTGTTGTTTTTTTTTCAGAGCCAGAGCCTCAACTGTGTGGAGAAGACTAGATGTCCAGGATCTAATGTGAGTTCTGTGCAGATACAGGGTGATTCAGACTATTTCATCAACCATCTTGGAGTACCTGCCACGCAGTTTTCTTACGAGGACATCAAAACTTCAGAGGTAGCTACAAATAAAAAATGGACAAAGTGAAAATAACAGAGAGATAGAATTATATTTTCTCAGGTTATATCCTCACATAACAAGCATGTCGTAGTGGAAAGTTATCTAATGTAAGTGCATTTTTTTAGTTCTCCAGAGGATTACCACAGAGCTTCAAAGGGACTGGTTTTGCAGGGATATGGTATTCAAAGAAACAGATAAAAATTGGAGGGTGTTATGTTATTATGTTATTATGTTAAAAATGTTAATAATTCTGATAGTTTTATAGGTTACATATCATCTAACCCACCTTTTCAGACTGTTTTCAACAGAGAGGAAACAGGTATTGGTGTATAATTTTTTACTGCACAGTAGGATGTGCAGCCTTCAAAATGAATTTTATATCCATTTTCATACTGTGGCAAAATATGATTCTCTAGTATAAATGTTGGTGGTAAAGATCTGTATGCTTGATTGGAGTCCTCAAAACACTATATTCTTTTTCAGTCCAGCAACCTCTGCAAGGTAAGTGGAAGGACGAGGCATTTTACACTGTTTGGGGACTGGGTGGGAATTGGACACAGATAAACTGTTAGGGAAGTTTGTCCTTCCTCAGCCTTCACTACTGTGGGTTATTTGCACCTGAACAATACAAATGTTCTCTCAGTTGGTCAGCTGAAGATCAGGAAACATGGTATTAGTTATTCCAAGATAAAGTAAGCATGAGAAAAGGTGTGCGTTTTCTTGGAAATTTAATGATGCATTGACTTCATATTCTCCTCATTTCTCTTTTACACTGTGCTCATCTCCATATGCCCACATCTTTCCAAGTTCAGGAACAAAGCTGAAGCTGGGCTGAACTGGAATGCTTCCTGACACTGCATGCTAATGTTTCTCTTTCATAGATGCAAAACAAAGCAGAGATGTGCCAAATACAGAGCATTGCTGTCATGTCATTGTGTAAATTGAAATAGATTAAGTCAAGAATTTATATAAATAAGGAGACTTCTGTGTTCTAAACTTCATGGCACCTATTAGGCAAAGTTTTCTATTTCAGATTAAACACTAAGCGAAGGCTGTAAGGAAAATGTGAAGGCGGAAGACTTATGAGTGCAATGTTTATGACAGGCTTTTGGTCCAGAGTGAATTTTTGTTGTCACTTAGCAGCTACTCCACGTAGTTTTCATTTAAGATCTGTGTATTTAGGATCTATAGTGCATGAGAAGGAATCTGCAAACTTCAGTATATCAAAATAGTATTTCCCAGCAACATTTACAATATGAACACTGAAGGTTCCTCTTTGGCTATTGTCTACTTTAATCCACAGTTATTCTTTGTGTTCAGTTAACCTTGTAAATATGCATTTTTGGTTCCACAGAATGACTCAGCAATGTAATTAAAATCATAAAAGGAAGTGTTTCCATATTTGCTTAAACATGACACTGTAAATTTAGTTCTTTGTTAAAAACTCAGCTTTTGTCCTTGCAAAATCATTTCCTAGAAATAAACTTAGTAAGTGTAATCTGCAGCCTTGAAGTAGATGTGCTGCACTTCTCAGACTGTAGGAGACCTTGACCCCATGAGATCCATTCGATGTGAGAAATAAATCTGCTTGGCAAAATGTATAAATTTCTCTTGGTAAGAGGGTCGACCTTTTTCCTAAAAGTGAAGTTATTAAAAATGATTAAATTTGAATTATTTGCTCTATTCTTATTGTTTATTGTACTGATTGTTAACAATCCTTCAGAAGATAGGCTTGTTGTCTTTCTTGTGTTCTATCAACAAGCAATCTTGTTTATTTTTAGTGCTTATTGCAATTGTTTATTGTGGATTCTGTTCATTGTATCAAACAGAGATATTATAAGGCAGACAAATTATTCTATTTACAGCCATATTAATAAATATTATTAGGAATTTCTGTTATGAAGGTTAGTGACTGATAATAATCTGTTGGTTTGCAGGGAGGGATTTTTGTTTGTTTGTTTGTTTCCAAGCCATTCAGTTTTTTAAATTATGCCTCAGCTTTGTCAGCTTCATTGCAAAACAAGATTGGGGAGAGCAGATTTCAGAAATGGGCTGTTTTGACATGCTTTGTAGACTATCATTTTGCCAGGTTGGTTTCCTTTGCTCTCACTTTCACTGCTGTGACCTGCTCAGGAATTGGTCTTCCTTTGGAATATACATTAGTTATTTATCTTACCCACCTGTCAGCCAGCATGCAGTGTCACGTAAAACTGATGCTATTCCACAGTCGAAAAAACCTTTTTTAGAGTAAAAAGCTCAAAGACCTGTGCTTGTATCCTACCTACAGAGCAGCAGCTGCAGGTCAGACTTAGAAATGCATTTCTTACACAGCCAGTGCGGTGCTGGTCTGCAGAGAGAAGGTTATAAAAGCCTTTCATTGACAGGAACCTGAGGAGTAAATAAGAGGAAATAAAAGTTGTAAGAGGAAACATTCAGGCCAGAAGAGTAAGTAAAACTGTCTGGCTTGAAATTGCATAATACAGTGACCCACAGCCTCAGGGAGGTTAAATCTGCCTGGCAAATGCCCGTGGTCACATCTGTGAGCCAGTAAAGTGCATTCTGAGAATTCAACCACAACTATAGAAATGCACTGAGTGAAATGTAGCTCATTTATTCACTAGCAGGAAATATGCAGCATTTTAGTTTCAAAGTAAGTAAACTTGGAAGAATTTCTTAACTGGCAAAACCCATAGTATTACACCAGTTTCCAAGGATTCTCTAGCAGTTGCTGAAGAAAGCCTTCCTCTCCTCATAACCTCTGGTGCCCTGGCTTTTACTCTGCATGAGAGTCACATTCTGATATGTAATATTTTAGGAAAAAGGCTGATCAGATTTTCCTACTACTGCTGATTCTCTTTCAGGAGGAGTCGTGCTATTAAAGGTAATGGTTCATTTGCGTCCAAGTGACTATGTAGAGCCTCCAGAGAGAGCCATAATGTTGACTTTAAATCAGAGATGCTATTACTGAAGGCCATGATTCTATTAGTCTTCACCTCAGCAGAGAATAGTATTAGAAACATATTCACTTAGCTTTACATCAACAAGGAAGAGCAACATAAACTAAAAGAGATCTTAGATCACAGTCTTGTCTTAATTACTCTCTGTATTGCAGTAAAAGCTGGATATTAATCAAATTAATCATATGAGCATCGATACATCTGTAATAACAAACTTGGAGCAAGTGAGTAAATTCTGATTTTTTTCCATATATGGATTATTTCTGTTCTCTTCAATGCTTGTATGACAATGTATTTGCAAGCCAAAAAATTATATAACAGGTATAATACATACACGTCCTCCATAATGACAGAAAATATATGGATATAACAGACAAAAGTGCAGGTTTGGACACATTACTGTTCTTCACAACTCTGCTTAGTGTCTTAGGTATAAATTCTTTACCTGTGGTGTTTCAATTTTGTAAACAAAACATGTTATCTACATGACTGAAACTCAGCTCTTGGTTACCTGATTATAAATTAGGAATAACTCTGAAAACACTGGATATAGTGGTGTATGATCTGAAGAACATGTATTCAGTTTCCATTTGAATTTATCTTAGTTATTTTTTAATGGATATACATGAATTGTGTGCCTTTATAATAGTAAATACTGCTCTATCACTTATAGCTTATGCTGTTTCTCTTCCCTTACACATCTTTTTTTATCCTTCTCTGGTGTTTTTTGACATTTTTTAAATTTGCATGTTAGCGGAAATTCTAGTATTAAATGGTTTATTTCAGTTGTGAGAGTGATGACTGTTCTTCCATATGAAGTGACATTCACTGCAGACTAAGCTCTGCTCTTGTGAATGATCGACACAATACCAAAAAAAAGCATTTAAAATTATCAAAACTTTACAGCACTAAAAGTTTCATTAGTCAGATCTGTGGCTCTGGTAACAGAAAATGCTTTTAGTCACAGTGACTGCTTACTTGCTAACTTGTATGAAATTTCTTATATCTGGAGACATGAGTGAAAAAGAAACATGAATCCATGTCTTAAAATGTTGTTTCGCATAAATCCTTCATTTCATTTTTACACTGCATTTATTATATAAAACCAGCATAGTCTTGAAAATTTTGTGTTGTCTCCTGTCTCTAGATAAAGTTTTATATACTTTTATCTGTTGGAGAGACTCAGTACTTCAGAAGTTTATCCATAACTCCTCTTTACACTGCTTTTATTTCTTTACCTTATTTCTTGAAGCTTTGCCTTGTTTGTTTGGGTTTTTTTTTCATATGAGCATCATCTCTATAATTTTCTGTCCTTCCAGTGGAGCACCTTAAAAATGTAGTTTGCTCTGCTGGATTCAACATTCCAATGGCAACACTTGCCTTTTTTCTTTCATGAGAAGGGACAGAAAAAAGTAGCTTTTAAAACCTCTGTATTTGGAAGTGTATTGTGTAATGAGAAAACAACCAACCCCCTAGTTGCAAGTTAATTTATTTTGGTTGTTTTTTTCACAGCACAGTTTATAGCATAGCTGCTGAAGTCCTGGAGCATAAGCACATCACAGAGACTGAGAAAAAGAGCCTTGCTGTGGCTGCCTAATGTTTGGGTACAAGAGAAAGTATAAACTGGATTTTCCATGGTTTCAGTTAGGGATTTGATTGTTTCTTCATCATTGTAAATCAAACAACATTGAACGGTTTAGTATTTTGAGGCTGATTCAATCACTTGCAAACTTAAGCTGGTACAGGTGTATTTTGAGCCTTTTTCAGGATGGAAATTAAATGTTATTACCCATTTTTGTGTCATTGCAGTCAGCAGTTTCACGAGGAATCAGGTGTTTTTTAAATTATAGCTAGATGATTTCCTATGCTATGTGCATATTATTCAATCTTCTTGGAGCATCCTATTACATAATGATTCCTATTTGATAACACAGAATCTTAAATCCCCTCTGCGATATTGTGGTAGGTTATATCAACATTAGCATTATGATTTTGTTGTGAATAAAACCAATTATTGCACATGCACATTATTAAAAAAAA